CACGTAGTTTGATTTCATAATCCAGCGGTCGTAAATCGCGTACCGTACAGGTGCACTGAGACTCCTTGCCAGGCCAGGCTAGGCCAGTCTGGTCAGTGCCGCGCGCGCGGGGCCACTTAAGAGTTCAGTTCAGTTGACTGGAGTTGCGGTGCCACAATCACTGCTGCAGACCTGACGGCTATATTTTCACAATTCGCTGACAGCAAGGAGTAGTGTGCTGCCAATGTTTAGGTGTGTGTGTGCGTGTGTGTGCAAGAGTACATGTGAACATGTTCTCTGTTTTATTTTATCACTTTATCACTGTGTATATTCCTGGAGAACAGTTGAGAATATAAAGCCGTGGACCAAATACTTGGGTTGACACGGAAAAACCCTGCATTTTGACGTATGATACATGCATGCAATTGGGTAGGGCCGGGTCAGAGGGCAGGATTTCTTAATCCAGCACCCTCGTTAATCCAGCAGAAAACGCCGTAGCAAAAGGTGCCGGATTAGAGAGGGACGACTGTACATGCATTTACCACAGATATCTGCAGTTTCAGAGCAGCCAATCGGCAAATATTGATGTGCAGACTGTGCGGTGAACATTTGATCAAGAGTAGAGAGAGCCCAAATGACCCAGCAACCAATATACCAGAGAAAAATGACTGCCATTCGGTTCAATGAGGGGTGTATCATGTGATTTTAAGGCCCTCGGTGTGCAATTTTTAGGAGATGAAGAATACTCGAATACTCGAATATTCGATCGGAGAAAATCAGAGTACTCGAACTCGGGATCTCAATGCCAACTTTCACCCCTAATGCACATGTAAATGGACTGTTAAAATTAATTTTTTTAACCCTAGGACGGCCACCACTTTCAGTACTCCTAGAACGACCAAACGGTGTCATTTGACACCTGCATACATTTACATGTCTAAGACCTATGATATAGGTTAATATATTTTTTTGTTTCAGCGCTGGCTATCACTAGCGGCATTTGCGATGTACACAACACATTAGGATTCACCCAGACACTATTGCTGGCTATACGCAACTAAATTACAATGTACGCGTAACGGCAATTGTGAAGGATGAACTCAATTACTGGCAAAACTTCAATTACTTGCGTAGGAATTTTATAAAATCACAGAGTTACAATACCAAGCAATGTGTCAATGTCACTGGGCACATGAGGAACTGCTTTTCGGGAATATGTGCTTTGGCATAATCGGATTACTCGACCGTCACGATGAATGACCCACAGTAACAAGTACAAACATGGACGGACTATGAGCATCATGTTTTCACCAAGCTGACACATATGCTGCTAGACATGGTTTCAAGATTATGCTAGTAACGACTGTATTTTAGACTCTTTCAAAGAGGTATACACTTCTCTTCTCAGTGGCTAGCACTTAGCAACCAGATGCCATGAGTATCTACAAGCTTATTTCCCAGTGCAGGAATGAGCGTTTTCTGGGTGTGCATGAACTAGCAAAGGCCTGGGATATTGTGGAGGCGTTGATGCCTGTCACATCTATCAATTCATTTAACAGCCTTGCAGGGGGACATCTTCTGTAATAGTCTTTGTTGAGTAGATCCACCTCATTCGATCGAAACGGTCAAGGACGTATCTCGTCTTTTGCTAGAACTGGACGATGTGGGGCTTCCTACTCTCACCATGTAAAACATATGGCTCTAGGTGGTCTACACTAGGTGGACCATTGTTAATTCTTGCTAATTCTACCTTCTACGTCTACCGTCTTTGCATCCTACAATGTAATCTTGAAAAACAAAATGCAATCCGCGCTTATTGGCAATGACATTAGATAGCAGTTCACTTCAATTTACCAGAGTGGTTCATACTGCAACTCATTCTTCTCCAACACTTTCTTGACCAGTAATGCACTGATGATGAAGTTATCAGTTATTAATTAGCAATCACCTTCTGCAGCATCCGGGGCCAATAAAGAGAGAGAAGGCATCCCACCGACTGCCTAGCCGTTTAGCCTGAAGCAGGGAGGAAGAGGTTTGGTGCAAGAGCCTCACTAGCTCGTCAAGTAGATATAAAAGATTATCTACACATCAGCATCCTTGCGATAATGCGGTGTACCATCTCCAAGTTGCAGAGTTGCGATTCCTCTTCCTCGACACTATCCATTTCGGGGTCTCCACCACTCCTGCAACTGTTTCTGACAATTCCTTGTCTGGACTATCCCGCAATCCTCGTCCGCTCTCTGGAGGCTCGTAAACCTCAATACAATAATGTCATTATGAATCCACAGGTACTCAGGTGGTGTGACCGTACGATTCACCCTCATATGACAGAACAGATCCACCACTGCCAATGGTCACTACACTTGAACAGCCATCAAATGAAGATAAAGTGCGGAATTTCGCTTTCATGGTCATCAGATTCATGCATGGTAATAGGCTACATACATTCTAGTATTTCCTTAGCCGTCATGCCGCGATGGCTCCTCTGGGGCAATTTACAGGAAAATGAAAGGGAATGAGCAGTAACAAGGACATTAGCTGAAGAGCGTTTGTGTAATCTGTGCACTAATGTTTACCCGCCCCAAATTCGCGATTCTCGCCCGACGGTTGTATGGTGATCATATATTCCGTCCTGTATTCAGCAATTTTTTCTGCCCATGCACCTTTCTTTTGTCTGGTTGGCATACGAGCAACTCAATATGGCCGACACCTTCGAAATGTGTTCATATTGTTTCCATCTGGCTGCAATAATGGCTTTTTTTACTGCAGGTGTCAAATGACACTGGTTGGCCGTTCTAGGTATACATACTCGCCATTATGGTACCTCATCAATTACAAATCAAAGGTTTATGGCAGACGAAAGAGGAAGCAAAATTAGGAATAGTCACAGGATTTGAGCTTATTCTGATTAACCATATTTCGGTAATTCCAAAAGTTTGACTCGCGCGGTGTCAAATGACACCGTTGGCTGTTCTAGGGTTAAAGAAGATGGATTTGGCTAGAATTTGGTGCGGGAGGGCCCGGGAATCTCTATTTTTTGTCTCGCCTAAAGGCTGAAATTATAATGCGGCCGAAATGTGTTTTAGCCCTGAGAAGACACTTCTCCATTTTCTACATAACATTGCATTCCCAGTGTGGGATATCAGTTACAGTGCTTCCTGCATCAAAGTGCGCCTCCAAGTGCGCTGGAGGCGCATTGGGATAAAATCTGCATTCATGATGAACTCGACTCATGCATGTACATGTAGCTGCATGTCCACAGAGCTCTAGTCAAAAGAGGGTAGGGGGCGCAGCCCCCCCCCCCCACAATTTGATTGAGCGCCCTCCTGTGCAAAAGCGACCGACGCCCCCCCCCCCCCTCCCCTACTCATTTGTTGATTTTCGTGTTACAATTTTGGAAAATGGATTACATGGTAACTGTTTCCCCTGCCCGCCCTCCTAATGGTTTGACCTTGCTAGAACCCTGGTGTACATTTTACGATATTTTCTGATTTCCGCCAATTCCAACGATTATTCGATGATTGGTTCACAGCACGAATATTCTAAGTTATTCGATTGTTCCACTATTCTTTTCAACACTAGTATTCATACTTGGACAACAGGAGGTTCATTTCTCTCACAATACGAAGATAAAGGTGGAATATGCCGCCTAGGGCTGCGCAAGCACAGTTCCCATCTCCTGCACCCATATCTCTATCTTTGATTCGATGTACTGTTAATTGAATGCACTTGATTCAATGTTCAAAATGCAGATACAGTCAACTCCAGATAAACCAAACACATGTGGCCAGGAAAATACATATTTATAAAACAGACAGAATAACGAGTGGTTGCTTTTTCGTAACTCTTTCACGAACCAAATCGAATATCAGACGAAAATTGAACTTTTTTCCAAATATATTGAGCCCTCTACGGACGGTGAATGAACTTTACATGGTAGATCGTTATAATAGTGCTGAGTCGGGTAGCATTTTCTTTGGGTATCGGGTTTGGGTACTTTTCCACGGGTACCCAATCGGGTAATGTTTCCATGGTAACACCACAATGCACCCTTCCATTATGCACTGGGTAGACATGCGGAGTATCACATGAACTTGTACACGTGCACTGTATATGATGTCATTTGCGACTTTGGGTTTTCGGGTACTATTCTGTACCCGACTACCCGAGGTGCTCATGGGTAGCACGGGTACCCGACTACCCGTGCACACCCCTACTTTATAACCAAAGTTCTTTATAACAGAACTGCACTCACACCATACAAGCAACATTGTCATGACCGACATGTGACCCCTGAGCGCATGAGTGCACTTGGTATGGTCGACAGCAAACATGAGAACGACACTGGTACCAATGCTGCTGCTCCACAAACACTAAAACAACTAAAGCACTTACAACAGCAGTATAACAACAGCACTGACAAAAAAAACAGTGCCGAAAATGCGATAATGATGCAGACATCCAGCGTGGAGAAAGTGTCTGCTCTGAACTTCGCAGCTCGCGCTTCCTACCGACTGACTTGACACTTGACTGACTCACGACTGCATCTGGAGCACACGAGAAGCCCGTCGAACCTTCCACTCGGCACACCTGCAAGGAAGCACCACTCTCTGCTCAATAAACAGTGTTTCGGGGAATTCACCCCTCATCAGTTGAACTTGAGTAGGCTAATACAATTTCTGCATTAAGTAGTGCTCTCCGAGCCAAAACATCACTAGGGATACCAACTTACAGTGACGCTCCGCTTCCAGCGCAACAAACACCTCGTGAGCACCAGGCAGCAGTGTGAGTCAGTGTCGCACATGGAATGTCGGAACATCTTTCATCCAGCGGGGAGTAAATAATTGGCTCTCGCCCGGAATTCTCGATCCCAGCAGTGTTGTTCCGTACTGACTGGATCATCGAAATCCAAACAGGTAACCTTTTACTAACGGTACCTGAGAGTAACCGACTGGTACCCAGGTACCCTTTCACCCCTAAAACACACACAGCAATAAAGCACCACATACTGCTGTCCTTACCTTCAGTTATCCGCTCTCATCATCTACTTGCCGCTGTCAAGTGTGCTGTGTGTACGCTGACGGAAATGGATGTGCTTACAATGCTCTTCAACCTGTGTACGAACTGTTAATGGTCACACACAGTCAAGTGTACATAGTAACACCAGGCGTGGTCCAGGCAATCCTCCACTAGAGGTTGTCATCCTCCACTAGCTGTCTTGCACTAATGAAGACTGAAACTGGCCTGCAAAAAGAAGCAACACATAGATGAACCCAACGGAATTGAACAGTGATGACCCTGTTACCATGTTTAGTGGAGCTCGACACATAAAAAAACATCACATCTACACATACACACGAACACACACCCGCGTGCGCTTGCAGGACCGACATACCGTCTATACTGACGACACCAGAACTTACACATCAAGCCACTGCCTTACCACGATGCAGAACAGACTTGCGGAAAGTCATGTTGCAGTACAAGGTACCATGGAACGAGGACTCTTGCTGAACCCTGATAAAACCCAGCTTCTAATTGTGCACTGCGAGACAGCCGACATCCCTCCCAACCTGATCGTTTCTTGTAGCACCTTCTCTGTATTCCCTGGCCCCTACGTGTGCAACCGGGCATGCTCGTTAACCAGCATCTTGGCTGTGAACAGCGTACTAACAAAGTGTTCAAGGATGCAAACTGAATGCTCGCTATTTCAAGGTACGGTTTCTATGCTTTACCCTACCTGGCTGCAGATAGATGGTACTCTCTTCCACCTGAATATCACCAGGCAGCTTCCCTTGGAATATTTACCAGAATCTTACATGAACACCAAAGGACCTGGTAACTTGTTGCAAGATGATAAGACTGTGAGGACTGCCCTGTTACAACAATATAATACTGGACACAATATCTCTATTCCCGTAGCTATGCTAAATGGTTCCTAACAACCGAGATAGGTCACAACGAGTAGATCGACTCACCATATCTAAAAGATACAGTATGGCAACTTCAAGCACGCACAACTGACCAAACACGCCACCTGCAAACAGCAAACGGGTTCTCCGTTACGATGTTGTCAGGGCAAATGCAAAAGGGGTACAAATGTGGAGGTCCAGTGGATTCAATTGGGAGCAAACCAAGGAAAGTTGGCCTGACAACTTCAAATAACAGTTAGGCACAATTGATATAACACGGCACCCAGAAAAATCAATTCGGTACACTATTACAGGATTGCCATGGTTAATGGGCCACTGAGCATGCAATCTAGTGACCAGGCTGTGGCACCCGCTGTAGCACTAGCCAGATGTTCACACTGTAGCACTATAGCCAGGCTGTAGCACTATAGCCAGGCTGTGTCACTATAGCCAGGCTGTGGCACTATAGCCAGGCTGTGGCACTATAGGCAGGCTGTAGCACTATAGCCAGGCTGTGGCACTATAGCCAGGCTGTAGCACTATAGCCAGGCTGTGGCACTATAGCCAGGCTGTAGCACTATAGCCAGGCTGTGGCACTATAGCCAGGCTGTAGCACTATAGCCAGGCTGTGGCACTATAGCCAGGCTGTAGCACTATAGCCAAGCTGTAACACTATAGCCAGGCTGTGGCACTATAGCCAGGCTGCAGCACTATAGCCAGGCTGTGGCACTATAGGCAGGCTGTGGCACTGTAGCCAGGCTGTGGCACTATAGCCAGGCTGTGGCACTATAGCCAGGCTGTGGCACTATGGCCAGGCTGCCAGAAAAAGTACCGAATTCTGCCGGCGGAATCCGCAGGAGCCTATATCCCGTGCGTGGACTTTCAAACAACTACTGTCCACGTCATCTACCAACATAACAGATCATAACAGATCACCCATGCTCACAAGCAAAGATCTACTGATGTGGAAACGGAAATCCGGTCGCGGCCCCAGGGCGCGGGCCATGCAGCCGTGGTAAGCACGCATGCATTTACCATGATAGCCCACATCCCACATGGACATGCAGATGCTACACTGCTATGAAGTACGCCAACACACAGGGCACAGAGTTTGGAGTTATACAGTCCAGTGATGTGGATGACATCAACCAACGCTGTACACTGCTGCTCAATGTCAGCGTCAGACGTGTCATTGACTGGCTAGATCGAATTTCACTGAACAGGACTGACTGTACTGTCATGTATGTACACCCGTCTATGATTGAAGGTCTTACCGGCAATATTATGAGCCAGACCAGGCGGCTTTTTCTTTGCATCCCAGGCCAGGGATCCCGTCAACAATCTTCATCATTCCTTGATCGAGAAACTCCTGCGTCTTTCGTCCACCGGTTCCGGGTCGGTGGGTAAGGTCCCCGTACGCACAGGCGTCTCCGCACCTCCCAGCCATCAGCTGGCATTGCCGCGGCGTGTGCTACTGCCTACAGGCTACTCTGGCGCTGGAGGGGTGGACCGATCGACCGTGGACGTGACTGCCATGGGTGTGCTCCTCTGACCAGTGCGGGCGCGGTCGCTGCTTCCGCTGCGGCAACGGCCGACCGTGACTGGATTGAGGTTGGCGACCAAGTCGTCTCTAACAGTACAGGTACTGTACTTGGAAGTAACAGCTCTTGAGCAGTCCGCCAGAGCGCCTTCTGACGAGGGTACAATGGCCTCTACCAGGGCTTCGATAGCTCGTCAAAGATGACTGTTGCTTGGGGTAATGGCCTTCTCGAAAGCGTCGAATATCGCTCCCTGTGGCAAAATCCTTGCCGGGAATTCGTCTGACCAGCTAGCTAGATGCTCTGTAAATGGCATACCCCACCTGGACCATTTCCCCTCGTTTTGCTGCTTCCTTTCCTAGCTCGGTAGAGTCACGGTGAAATATATTCTACTTTTTGCAACGAGCGGACCACACTCAGCATGCACTCGACCTCTTTTCGTTCGTCCCTGGCCTAGGCCCTAGGCTAGGGCCCTACTTTGTAGCCGCTCTACGTATACGCGTAGAGTCTACAATCTAGTCTTTCACAGTTTCAGTTCGTCGAATAAGAAACAAAACCGATACCTGGATACGAACAAACCCAAACCAACTCGACACAACTACTGAGTCTGTCTGTCATGTACTGTTATACTATAGTATAGATCCCGACCCACGTGCACAGATTCAGTGGCGGGTCCAGATAGTGGTGGTGGGGGAGGGGGAGGGGGGGGCGCAGGGGGCCCGCCGATTTTTGGTTGATAGTTTAGGCCTCGAACGTGAGAAGAAGAAGACTGCGTTCGAGCTAGCGAGAGTGTGGAGAGTTTACGCTGGATCATGGACGTAGATCTACTGCATTTACGTGAGTTTTTAGGAGTAGATCTACGAGTATAGTGTCAGAATGTTTGGCTCGCGATCAAACATTGACATGCTCACTCTTTGAGTCATTCGCTTTCATCTCCTTGTACTAAAAAGAAAGAAAAGAATGACGTGTCAGGTAAATCTAATATTGACTTCGTACTAGGTCAATATAGGAAATACAAGCCGATAAAAAGATCGAGGTACTAGGTTGCAGGACTTTTACGAGGTTTTAGATTTATCACGAGTAGCCAAATAAATTTTAAAAAAATTTTTTTTCACGGTTCGCGTGAGACTCGGCTGGAAGCCGAGTTTTCCGCATCCGCCGTGGGAACGCCACCACCCTCTAGGATCAAAGGCGCATATGCAGCGCCTAAACGGTGGGAGGTGAGTAGATCAGACCCACCACCAAGTGGTCAAAGACCGAAATCCCATTAGCTGCATCCATGTTACCCTCGTGCCAGGCCACGAGTTCCCAGCACGGCTGGAAAAATTCCTTCCGCTTCCAAGCAGGACTTGAACCTGGTACCCTCTGTTTCTCAATCATGGTCTTAGACCATCCCACTATGAGTAGCCAAAGCATGTATTCAATCCCTAAAAAGTCTGGTGTCAAATATAAGCACTGAAAGTATAAGTAATCAATCCAGCCCATGCCTAGTGAGATATGCAGGAATATTTGACTTCCATAGCGCAATCAGGAGTGATAATTGTGCGGTAACCATGCTTTGTTATAATAGTAACGAACACGAGAGCGAAACGTGAATCTGAAATGTACATATAAAAGAAGAGAAAGTGTTCAGAACCGCTTTCTCGTTACGATGGTCATGTCAGTGAACGTACGTATCTATGGATGGAAAAATAATTAAGTCAAACACATAATTACAATTGTACAAGTGAGACTCGGATAGAGAGCCAAGGATTATACATGTATTTAAGAGACAATACCAAATTGTTACATGTTATCCGTGATAGAGCTGATCATCAGGTCGTTGAATGTCAGCATTATATCAGTCAGTATCGTGCTTGCTGTTGCACCTCAGTCTGACGTCACAACATCTTGCTTACATGCATAACTGTTAGTGTTGGACACAAAACTACGAATAACGTGTAACACTTTGGTCCTTTACTTTAATTAAACATACTTACTACAAGTATGTGAAGAAGAGGTTGGTGCGACTTCGGCGATAGTTGGGGCAGTGTGTGTTATTGGAGCTCGCGGTTTTCCTGCCGACTTGAATTCTCACTTGACTGACTCACGACTGCCATCCAGAGCACACGAGAAGTCCATCGAACCGTCCACTGGGCAAACCTGCAAGCAAGCACCACTCCCTGCTCAATACACAGTGTTTCGGGGAATTCACACCTCATCAGTTGAGCTTGAGTAGGCTGAGGAAGATTGTGCCTGAAAAGCACCACTTACATTGTATAGTGCTCTCCAGGCACAAACATCACCAGAGATACAAACTACTTACAGAGACGCTCCGTTTCCAGCGCGACAAACACATACCTCGTGTACACCAGATAGTAGTGTGAGTCAGAGTCGCTCATGGAGGTGCTGAACAAGTGCTGAGGACCGTTGGCCATTCACAACGTTGTTGCCTCCAAACCATATAATTCGCAAGCCCGCGCTGGGGACAACAGTGTGAAGAAGAGGTTTGTTCGACTTCGGCGATAGTTGGGGAAGTGTGTGTTGCTCCCTACATGGGAGCTCGCGGTTTTCCTGCCGACTTGAATTCTCACTTGACTGGCTCACGAGTCGAGGGGTTCACCGCATAGAATGGTTGTGGTATGACAAAGGAAAGAGGCAACGATTGTGTGTGTGTGGGGGGGGGGGCGAGTTTCGAACTATGCACAGTGAAGGGATAATTGTATGTACATGACCAAGGATAGGATGTACCGGACAAAGTTGCCATTTTTGGGAGCAATGGATTGGGAAGTATGACAGTATTGTGGTAATGAGTGCAACATCATAAGAATTAGTTATAAAGGTTAAAAGGAAGCGATGACTGTTACAAGTACTTTTCTCAGTGTCATTAGATGTTTTCTTCATACATGTAGTTCACTGACAAACCCAAGGTACGAGACGTAACCATGGTAATGAAGAAGACTCGCAAGCAAAGGCGACGGAGGTGTGAACTACGAAGGCGTCTTCTCCAGGAAACCAACCATCGTCCCGACATCCAGTGTCAATGTTTTCGGGCAGTGCTAGTAGTTGTTGTTACTGATGAAGTATTCTCCGTTTTGTCACGTGGTAGGTCTATGTGTGGTCATGCAGTCGTATTTATTTAGCTTTTATTTCTTGTGTACTTGCATACTGGTATTAGTTTAGTCCCACAACTTGCGATAAAATGACCAGCTGTAGCACCTACTCCACTTTTATGTTTATGTATCTATGTCATTCGGATCTTCCCAAGTAATTGTACATTGTACTGTTGAGATTCCGAATTCAAATAAGTCAATACAAAAATACAGTATGTTGCATCTTGCCGTGCTACAAATAGTACAAGCCTTTACATGCTTAGACGTAGATCTACGCTGCATCCTGAACTTCAGCAGTACTTTGAGATCTGAAGAGTGAAGGAGAATGTGTTGTCTTTACAGCTGTTTGGCATACATTATACATGTATTGGTGGAGAAGGTGTGAAATAAATTCTTTGATCTCTTGATTTGATGCAATTTTATAACATTTTTGTCACCCTTTACTTTTCATGCTGTTTTGACTCTTCACCTAGACTTCTTTCTTCGTGTTATTTCTACACTTCACTGTAGTGTTGAATCTTTCAATCCTAACTCTTTGAACCCTATATCTTTATAGTTGTAGTACTTATATTATCATAAGTTTTGTTATTGCTGCTTAAAATGTCCACTTCGATAATTCTGCTGATTCCCGAACATTCGCTTGACCCAGGACACACTAGCTGCATACGTAGCTTCCTCGGAGCAATAAAAAAACCTTCTGACTCGGACCGGAAGGCGGAACGACACGATGGTACCAGTCGTCGAGTCATAGGCAACGAGTACGCTTCACAACGGTGCGTCACCTATTCTTCTTTACGTTGCAGAACACCAGCAGCCACTCTCCTGTAATAGCGTGGATCAGGACTATCTTGTCGTTGCGTTGACTCTATCCGTATCCCCCGGACCAGAACTCGTTGCTGTTCTCTGGACAAGCCAGTCAACCTATTTGTTTTGGCTACCATTGTGGACCAGAAGTACAGCCAAGTTCCAGAGAATAGGTCGGCTGGTTGACGCTGCCCTAGTTGTCACCAACTCTCAGTTCGGAATGTCTTCCTCACGGAACACGTCAGAAGCAGAAGGCCACCAACGGATGACGGGAGCGCAACTACCCAGCTACACGATGGAGTATTTTCCGCCGTTGGACTCACAAGGTCCACAGCCGGCTACTGTACAGGGTAAGGGACGAAAGTCGAACGTTTTGCAACCTGTATGCTCTGTACATAATGTCTTGGGATTTTAAGTGTTTCCGGTATGGGATAAAAAAAATATTATCCTGCTAGACCTGGTTACTGCACCGATATAATTATTTTGTTTGTAAATTGTCTAGTTCTGGCTCTCTAGCCTGCATGGGACTGCATGGTGTGTGTGTGTATGTGTGTGTGTGTGTGGTGTGTGTGTGTGTGTGTGTGGTGTGTGTGTGTGTGTGTGTGTGTGTGTGTGTGTGTGTGTGTGTGTGTGTGTTGTGTGTGTGTGTGTGTTGTGTGTGTGTGTGTGTTGTGTGTTGTGTGTGTGTTGTGTGTGTGTGTGTGTGTGTGTGTGTGTGTGTGTGTGTGTGTGTGTGTGTGTGTGTGTGTGTGTGTGTGTGTGTGTGAGATGGGCTGTGAATCACGGCATGGAATTGTCTAAGTCAGTCAGTAGAAGCTGTCGAACACAGTCACTACATGTATTCCCCAGGAAGTATCCAACCAGTGAAAACTTCATTGCCTTTAAGCGCAAGCGTAACGAAGTGAAATGTTTGTCACGTACCCTCCATCGTCAGTATGTACAGTCGGTTCATGCCACCCTGTCTTCCCCTGATCGCCCTAGTCTCCATCAATTTCTCCGCCATCTCCGTAAGAACTGTAGTCGGGAGCCGATCCGATCAATGACAGCTTCAGACGGCACGGTAGCAACAGATCCCGCAGACATAGCAGACATATTGAACACGCAGTTTACGTCGTTTGGACTTCCTGACGACCCTACGTGGCCTATACCACCACTCACCCCTTCACCCTCAATACCTGCGTCCCTCCTATCATTGTCGACTGGTACAGCCCAAGTGAGGAAATATCTCCGTAATCTGAAAACTGGCAAGTCCCCTGGTCAAGACGGAATTACCAACGAAGTTTGGAGAGCTCTTGCTCCGTCTGTTGCCTATCCTGTGTCAATTATCTTGAATATGTCATTTCGCGAAGGGAAATTCCCAGCCATATGGTAAACTGTAGTAGTCGTGGCCACCTACAAAAATAGAGGACCACGCACCACCCCCAGCAACTATCGCCCTATCTCATTGCTCTCTACTTTATCAAAAGTGTGCGAACGTGTTGTATATGACATCATTTTTGATCATGTTCGCATTTCACTTTCGCCAGCACAGTCGGGCTTTTGTCGGGGTGACTCCACCAGGTGCCAGGTTACCCGCCTCGTGCAAGACATCCACACCGCCCGGAACGCCCATAACCATGTTGGTTTAGTTTTCTTCGATCTCGCAAAGGCCTTCGACACTGTTTGGCACAGGGGTCTCTTAGCTAAGCTGCGAACAGTATATCGCATTGATGGCAAGGCTATCGGCTGGCTCTCATCGTATCTCTCTAACCGACATCAGCTTGTACGCCTCTCAACTGTGTTATCGGAGCCTTTACCCGTTACTTCTGGAGTCCCCAGGGTTCAATCCTTGGGCCACTGCTATTTCTCCTGTATATTAATGACCTCCCCGATATTGCCCCTGGTGTCAGCCTTTTCGCTGACGACACAGCTCTGCTTTGCTCCAATGCTTGCCCCATACGCCTGCACGAAGCCATGCAAGATAGCATTGGGAAAGTTATAACCTGGATGCATGATTGGAAGTTGCAGCCAAACGTTGATAAAACGGCAGCTATGTACATTTCCCCTTCTCCCCCTTCCCTGCCACTTCGTTTTCCTTCTTCAAGTGTTGCTATTCGTATTGTTGAAGAGCATAAGCATCTTGGCGTCATTATTGACTCTAAATTATCGTGGTCACCCCATGTGCAGTATGTCTGCAAGCGCACAAGCTCCATCCTTGGGGCTCTTCAAGCCCACTGTAGACATCTTCCTCTTTCTTGCAAACGCTTGTTTTATCGTTGCTATATATTGCCCTTACTTGACTACTGTGATACTGCTTGGTCTGGCATAACTACTACTGTATTGAACAAGCTAGAAAACCCATAACCGCATGCTCCTTAAAATCTTATTTAGCAAAGATCGTCGCTTTCCCTCCGCTAGTCTTTACGAAATTTCCAAGATCAGTCCCCTTTCCACTCGACATAAGTACCACCTCTGTGTTCTCATACATAAAATATTACTAAATAAAATACCCTTGCATATGCAGGCTTATAATTGGTTCTCCGAAACACGGAATACCCGGAACTCACTCAGTCTCCCACGCGCTGCCTCCACCCTATTCACTAGATCCCCGATCTTTGCTGGCTATGTGTTTTGGGCAACATTACCAACGCAGGCCAAGACTAGCACGTCGATGGATAATTTTGTTGCTAAAATCTCTGCTCAATTATAGGTTTCATGTATATCCTGCTGGTTTGTCTCCTCCTTTGCCTTCTTTGCCTCTTATTTGTATTCTTTTATCTGTTTTACTGCTGTGGTTGGCTTTCACCCTTGTCTCAGTTTTATTGGCCGTCATCATGATGTGCCATGAGATTATAAATACAAAAAAAAAACGTCTGGCCAAGACAGTGTAAATGTTTATCAAGCCTGTTAGAATGGACTGGGATGGAGAGCCAAGGATCAATTTTTATCATTTTGTAGCAAAACAATGGACCAAGGACTCACAAGTTAAATTAGCATAAAATAAAATAAATTTCACGGTTCGCGTGAGACTCGGCTGGAAGCCGAGTTTTCCGCATCCGCCGTGGGAACGCCACCACCCTCTAGGATCAAAGGCGCAGATGCAGCGCCTAAACGGTGGGAGGTGAGTAGATCAGACCCACCACCAAGTGGTCAAAGACCGAAATCCCATTAGCTGCATCCATGTTACCCTCGTGCCAGGCCATGAGTTCCCAATTAACGGTGGGTCGCAGCACGGCTGGAAAAATTCCTTCCGCTTCCAAGCAGGACTTGAACCTGGTACCCTCTGTTTCTCAATCATGGTCTTAGACCATCCCACTATGCCTGCCTGCGATTAAATTAGCATGTTGTTACCCAATATATATTTTTTAGTGTTTATTTGAATTCGGATAGCTCAACAGTACAGAAGTACAACCACAAAGAGTACCGAATAGAAGGCCCCGAGAACGGGAAACCAAAAAACAAAACAAAAACAGCAACATCCATTTATTGATTATGCACATTGCTTGAAAGCAAATCACAATGATTAAGAGTTAAGCTATCTTTTAGCCATTTGATATGACATGTTAGATTAACGGTCGTAATATTATGGTCTCAGGTATGTGGTTGCGGAAAACTCGACCTCCAGCGGAGGGTCCGGCGAACCCAAAATAATTATAATTATGTGAAATTTTATATGTTTAATGTGGTGCTGCTTCAGTGATGAACTGTGGAGGTGTGTGTTCAGCTAGCGAATGCTAGTTGCACTACTGATGCTCCCTTCCATTTCAAGGTTGGGCAATATTAAAAGTAGTTGAGTGCATGAAACTAAGTCAGCAGGAAAGCCCAACAGGATTGTATAAGGATTTAGTGAGCAGTTCATCGTCCTCTCCCCTCACCTTCCCCTCCCCTCACCTTCCCCATCCTATGTTGTCATTTAACTTAGAGCCTTCCAATTTGGAAGGCAGTTGGTGTGCGCATCCGAGGCGTGCTAGAGCTGATAGCCAGTTAGTTGTAGAACGTCAGTACCATCGGTCATTGTCGTGCAAAGTTATCGCAGAAGCGCCTTGTTTAGTAACTGGTGGTGTTAGTGGACAATATAGTGTAACTAAGTTCCTTGGTACTTTTTCTTTTCTATAAAATTAAAAAAAGAATTTGTAACTCGGGTATTGAGCCAATAATAAATGTAGAAAAGAAAAAAGGACATATGGAAACGAGTTACGAGTAACTCTCCACCACAGTACCAAAATACTATAATATACAGTTGTCAAGTATCCTACTGGTCTCGTCATCGTCCAGTAACAATCGACATTCTTTGTTCCGTTGGGACTGTAGCTTGTGCTCATATTCGTTTCGCTTACCTTCCCCTCTTTGGTCTCTCCATAACCTTGAACCTTCCGAGTTGGAAGGCTGTCGGTTAGCGCTTCGGAGATGTGTTGAAGCTAGGTGTCAGGACGTCGAATGTCTCACTACTCTGTCAGTTTTGTACCTACTTGTTGCACTTTCTGACTGTGTTAGTATCTAGTTACAGTGGTGGAGAGTTACTCCTAAACTCGTTCCCACTTTTTTCTTTTCTACAAAATAATTTGTCAGTGAATTTTCTGTATGTTCATGGCTGTGAAAAACCAATCGAAAATGAAGATCTAATTTTCCTCGCAGTATGACTTTGAATTTGTAATTCAGCTTTCTGTACAAGTATACAGTCGGGCAGTAAGTTTGACTATAGGGTGCATATGATGAGAAGTACAGTTAGTTTGTCACTCATGGTAGGATTCTTCGGCTTAGCAAATCTGGAGAGACTGGGCAGGACAACGATAGTCAAGGTTATAAGTCCCCTATCCGCCCTGCACTTTAATCTGATGTAGCAGCTAGCGAAATGTTCATGTACATACTGAGCTGGTTGTTGCTGAGGCCCAGGTTGCTCGCATGTGAGAATCTATAAATTGCAGCAGATTATTTTTTATTATAAATACTGGACATGGATATTGAATTAAACTGTACTCAGTGACTTTTTACATTTTACAGGCTACGTTTTATTATTATTATTATTGCAAAGCTTTCCTTTTGATCTTGTCTCTTATTGTTGTGACCTTTCCACAATAATTGTGTTGCATTGTCAAAAAAAACCATGTACATACTAGGATGTCAGACCTCAGCAGCTTCGCATGGCTAGCTACTATATCGGACCTTGACAGCCATGTAGAAAGAGGTCCTTGGCTACAGAGAGCAGTGCGTACATGTTCATGTACATTCTGCTTCAACGGTACCTGTATGACACGTGTGTGCGTCCATGTGTGTATATGTTTACGTCATTGTGTGTGCGTGCATGTGTGTTTGTGTGACCGTGTGTGTGTGTACGATCTGTGTGTGTGTGTGTGTGTGTCTGTGTGCGAGCGCAAGGACCATTAATTTGATAAGTGTGTGCTGAGGGACAACTCACTATTGTAAACTAAACACACATCTACGGGGCAGGACCACTTCAGTCAGTGTTTTCAAGTATCAAACAATTGCTATCATTATCATTTGCACATTGCCAATTTCTGCTTTGTTCTGAAACACAGCATTCGATGGGACACATCAACAGGTACAGACAGGGCTGCAAGCTGCAGGGACAAATGTCGGTCCAGTACAGCCTGATCCCAACAATAGCTGGACACAGCCTATTGCGAGCCAATCGCAGCCTGTTGGTCAGCAGCACAGCCATATTGGACAACCGGTCAGCACTGGTGGCTTCAGAAGGATTAGCAGTAGTATTGAGGGGCTTCAACGATCATCAATAGATGAGCCAGCAATGAGTCTCCCACCACATTCTCATCCAACCATTGGTCTTATGTCATCACCAGCCCAATTTGCGAGTCCCTACGGCCAGCAAATGAATCACCACGTCCATGCCACTGCTACCAGTGGTAATCAGACATTAGCAGCATACCTGCCATATAGTGTCCCAGCAATGCACAGCAGTATGGCCAGCTCTAACAATCCTGTGGAAATGCACGCCGGCTTTCCACAGACCACACTGAACAATCTATCACAAGGCGACGAGTATCAATCGGACAACCCCTCTGCCCCTCCAGTGTTTGGCGGACATCCCAGAAATCTGTGCGAATGGCGTGTGAACAATGGTCTACAATTGTGTGGGTTGGCTTTCTATAGTGTCACCGAACTAGCGCAGCACATAACAAACGTTCATCTCCAGCAACAGGACACTACCGAACATCCCACACAGGAAGGTAGCAATGTCTACATCTGCCACTGGGACCAGTGTACACGCACCAAAGGATTCAAAGCCAAATTTAAGCTTGTTAACCATATACGAGTTCATACAGGTGAAAAACCCTTTGTCTGCGATCATCAAGACTGCTCACGCAAAGCATTCCCAAGATCCGAAAACCTGAAGATACACTACAGAGTCCACACAAAGGAAAAGCCGTTTCCCTGCACCTTCCCGGACTGTCAGAAAAGATTTTCAAATTCCTCGGATCGAAAGAAGCACATGGTCGTGCACACGAATGATAAACCCTACCAATGCAGGGCAGCAGGATGTACGAAGAGATATACACAACCGAGCTCGCTTAAAAAGCACTCCAAGCAGCATGATGCTCGAAATGCAGCCAATGGCGGAAATGCTCTTTCCTACAGTACCACGGACACCAGCGCAGAGAACAGTGGCCTGACGTCTGCGGATGGTTCTATTGCTGCGGACGGAGAAAGTGATCATGGCAGTTCGATTTCATCCGATGAGGTACTTGCAGACCGGCACCACCACTATCAACAAGAACAGGAAGAACAGCAGCAGCAGCACCAACATCAACAACACCATTTTGCACTTGTGACTTGCACGGACCAGTGTCAGCCTGCACAGCCGCAACACTTACCACTGGGAACGTCCTCAAGCATGCTGACTGTGAATTCAGCATCTACGTCATCTTTGCCACAGTTACCTTATCATTTGCACTCTGCCCAGGCAACTGCTAGTAGTGATCTGGTCAACAGTGCACAACCAACACCACCTGGACAGCCGTCTGGTAGCTATGAGGTGTTCAGTGAAGTATACCATGACAATGCCGGAAAGGGTGACCTAGTAGTGGCAAGCCTAGGCAGTAGAGCAACAAGAAATGATCCCTTGTCTACATGTTCCATACAGACATTCCCACAGCCGCCGCCACCACCACAGCCAGAAGCAGCAGCAACAGAAGCAGCAGCTGTGCCAGCAGCTGTGCAAGAACTGACTCAAAACAAACAGCTTGTTTAGCAGCAACATACTCACTTCCAATACCCGGCAGCACGTCAGCAGTTGCAGCAACAACCTCATCATCAACATCTAGAACAGCAGCTCCAGAAGCAGGATCATCATCAGCATCAGCATCAGCATCAGCAGCACCAGGAATCACGTGACCAATGTCAGCAGTCGCAAATCTATCCAACTCACCACCATCAGCTGCCGACGCCCACACACACACACAGCAGCAACAGCTATCGCTGGTGGCTCACACACCGCAGCACCAGTCATCACCTGTGTCTCAGAAGCACAACCATCAGGCACAGGAATCCTTGCCTCAGCATCAGCAACAGCAGCACTCTCTCCCATCGCCGATGCAGCTGCACCAGCAGCAGCTGCCGCTGCAGCAGCATTTTGCACAGCATTCGACAACTGCTCAGCCAACACTATTTCATGCAGGACAATTGCTGCACCCTGTACTGCCCTCGCATGACGCTCACTCTCTGTCAGCACCAAGACACCTCCCAAAAAGGCAATACTAAGCAAACACACCTTACACGGCTTAAACACTGTTCTCATGAGCTTAACAACAGCCTTTTCAAAATGGGACTTCAGCCAGCTTCGTGAATGGATGTGTTAAAAACTGTCCACAAGGTCTTTAAGGCTCATCATCACTTTCAACTAAACGATTTTGTTATTATTATCAAGATCTAGCTAGCTCCTTAGTTTTACGGAGTTGACGATTTTTTATTATATCTTATTCAAAAAAGAGGTATGAAGTGTACAGCTGCAAACTTAATACTCGCTGTGCATAGCTTATTATGATATTGAATTATCGTCTCAACGCTGTCCAACACTGAATGTGTTAAAGGTTATTTCATTAGAGATGGAGCTGGGATGTTGCTTTTTAAGCTGTGGAAATAGTCAATCAGACGACTGCCACATTTGTAGAAGTTCCTTTTTCAAATGTCTCGTCAATTTCATTTTCCGCATGTTGTCTTCACTAACATTACCCATGATGCTGGCCACATGTATATAGCGTCAGTAGAATTGCAGCTCAACATCCTAATCCGCACTGCATTCAGTCTTGTTTCTACCCACTCACTGTCAGGATCGGGTATTTCCCCTCCAATTAGTAACCATAGTAACCGTTTCTTTTTAGTTCACTTTTTCGGCTGATCTGCTCATCCCGCAGAAATGTGTCAATACTAATGCTGGCCTAACAGATTCTACAACTGCTGAAGGAAGTCTTGTCTTATGCGCTGAGTCTTCAACACTCATAATTATCGTATCTGTTTTCAAAATAATGAGATGGTGTCTTCCTCTTATTCGAATGATTATTTGTGTTGGAGTAATTGAAGTACACATGTGCAAACACAGCACAGAAAACAGTACTCGATAATGACGTATTCGTCGGCAAAATCGTTAGAAGGTAACTAGGGACGCTTCTTTTGAAGTCATTCTTGGCTAGACTGATAAAGCACGAGACAGAAAGGTAGTGGTACTATGCCTTGCATATTCCAGTACTAGAGTACATCATGTATGCATGTTCCATTTGTAGTTATAATTACAAGATGGTGGAAAAAGCTAGGTGTCTGGAGATTTAGTAGTTTATGACTACAATCATGTTGTCATGCTCCTACCTCCGAAAGGATGTTTAACTATGCTTCAAAATTTCAACCACAAAAAATTTAATTATGCCAATAATTATGCCAGCATAATCCGCCTGTGCCTATCCATGGTCGCCGATCTGGGCGAGACTGGTGTGTACGTCGTGGTGCGAAGTAAGCACCGTACAAGTGTGCTGTGTTGATAAGCGAGTAACGCCAGGGCGACCGGACGTCTCACATTGATAACTGCGGAAATTCCTCAGCTGGTGGCAAAAGCTGCATTGAGCCCTGGGCTTCTTTCAGTGCGACGACGTGATCAGGGTTCCAGTTCCAGGGCCAAGTTTCGACGTGTTGCTGGGTTGCTGGTGCTTGTGGTGGGTATGCAAGGTTGCTGAAATTGAATCCCTATTTTCAGAAAAAGCTCAAAAGTTGCTAATATCGCAGCTTAAAATGAGCGACTTCTCGTGCATAATGACACCAATAATAACCAAAAATGGAGCGGCAATACACAACACTGTGGCACAGCACAACTACCTGCGTTATGGGGAAATGAAAAGACTTGGAATGAGTCATTTTCCTTATTGTTAAACCTTCGCACAGTGGAATAAGAACAAAACGACTAACGCCGTTCAATATTTTAGAAAAATTCTAGGCTGTGCCTTGAGCTCATGTGTTCTTCGGCGCCCGATCTTACTGTTCTTCGTGAAGTACAAGTGTGCTGTGTTGATAAGCGAGTAACGCCAGTGCGACCGGACGTCTCACATTGATAACTGCGGAAATTCCTCAGCTGGTGGCAAAAGCTGCATTGAGCCCTGGGCTTCTTTCAGTGCGACGACGTGAGCAGGGTTCCAGTTCCAGCGCCAAGTTTCAACGTGTTGCTAGGGTGTTGGTGCTTGTGGTGGACATGAAAAGTAAGTTTGCTGAAATTGCATCCATTTGTTCCAGAAAAAGCTCAAAATTTGCTAATATTGCAACCCAAAATCAGCGAGTTCTGGTGCATAATGACACCAATAATAACCAAAAATGGAGCGGAAACAGACAACACTGTGGGACAGCACAACTGCGTGAGTTATAGGGAAATGAACAGACTTGGAATAAGTCATTGTCCTTATTGCTAAACCTTCGCACAGCATTCATGACATAGCGGCATGCTCAGGGCTGCCACATACACGTACAGTCATGTATATTTGTATGTACACAGTGTCTGCTCCAGGATTGCAGGACAGCCGGGTACACGTGTACCTGGCGCAACCATTTCAACCGGGTCGGAGCCGGGTACACATGTACGTCCAATGATATAAAGGCTAATGGATAAGCCGCATTTATAAAAGAGAGGACAGGAATTAGAAAATTACGAAAGAAGAAGAAGTATCTGACACATACATGTACAAGCCATGTAGTCAGTCCTTTCAAACTTTGAATCAAAGTTCGAAAGTGTAAAGTACCAACCGGGTCACAGGTGACCCGGTACTATATTTTCAACCAGGTCCAAGCGCCGCCCAACCGGGTGGATTACCCGGCTCACCCGGCGCTGGACCAGACACTGATGTACAGTAAGATCAGGCGTAGAAGTCACTTCGGCAAAGAACACTTTTTTTAGCTGAATATCACAGAACCATCAGACTTACATGACTTAGGCTGGAAAATGGGTAAATTCAGGCTAGATTTGCAGATTTTTGAAAGAATGCACGTACCATTTTCTGCATGTTTTCCAAGTGGTGTAATCGCATTGTATGTGCATGATCGTGGAATAAGAACAAAACGACTAACGCCGTTCAACATTTTGAAAAATTCTAGGCTGTGCCTTGAGCTCATGCGTTCTTTGGCGCCCGATCTTACTGTTATTCGTGAAGTACACTTGTCATGATGATTTGATGCTTAGCGATTCTTGTTGAAGCGGAGCATCACGGACACACTTCATTGGTCTCTACCAGGGCCCTTCTCTGCACAAAGTTGCGGAAAAGTGGCGAAGTATTTTGTGAAAATGAAGAATGTTGCGAAAGCTGCCAAAGCTGCGATTTCTTCCAAAACTACAAAAAGTTGGGAAGAAAGTGGCGAGCATCTTTGGGAAAGGGCTACATTGCATACCTAAGGGGGGAATTTTCCGAAAAGTTGTAGTAACTGACTGATAACAGAGTTCGATATTGCAGAGTGGATGGGAAAGAGGGGTCTGCTCTGAAACCTCATCCTACCTTATTAGGGTATTGAGCACTATTTGCAGCAAGGACTTCACACACTTTGTCCTACTGAAGAATAATAATTTTTAAACAATCGTCGAGGCGACAGTGTTCATTGCCATTTTACTATACGGAAGTGTTATGAACCCTCTAAGATTCTCTAAATTGTCAGGATCGTACGACCACACGGCACGAGGACAACTCTTTCCTTTACACAGTATATTTCACTTCATCTGATAATTAACAATGAACACTAATAACACCAGCTATTTATAGCATGCAGAAACAGCGTACATGCAAAACATAAGCATATAAAACTGGACATAACAGCGTATACAGCAAAACGCACACAACGCATATAGCGTATGCCATGCAGCAACATCAGCGGTACGGCGGAGTCGAAATACAACATTTCAACGAATACAATGCCATAAGCGCGAAGGCCTTTCCCAATTGAGAACTGGTGGTTTACAACATTCTCCCCACCAAAGGGCTTCTCACCGCCGTACAACAATGCACACAAGTCAAAAACGATCCGGGGCTCTGACTACGCGCCCAGAACGCGTCATCTCCTGCTGCCGTGGTGGTGGTAACGGTGCTGGCGGTTCATACGCTGGCTGCTGAGGGGCGATAGCAGGTTGAGCGGTATCGGCAAGCCCAGGAGCCACGTCCTGTGACGATACTTCTAATGGCACTAACCTTTGGATCGGCCTCAACAGGGTACTGGTACTCAACTTAACCTTGGCAACACGACGCTTGCCATCTCGACCAGGGAATAACTCGATGATCCGTCCCAAACGCCAGAACTGTTTGCGCTTGGTATCATCGAGAACAAAGACAACATCACCCACAGCTAAAGGGCGCGACATGGTCTGTTGGTGCTTGTTCAGCTCCCAACGATTCTTGACATGCTTCAGTGTCTGACTGAGGTAACGCAATCTCGCTGACATATGCGTAGCGTCCGGGGTACCTGCTGGCTTCGCTGACGACATCCAAATGTTACCCATCATCATTGCAGGGGTTACTGGTGGCTCATCCAGGCTATCAGACACATAAGTTAACGGACGACTATTCACCACTGCTTCAACCTCATACAAGATGGTCTCAAGCTCCTGAACCTTCAGAAACGCTGTTCCCATTACCTTTTTCAAGGCACTCTTCACTGTACCAACCATTCGCTCATAGAAGCCTCCATGCCATGGTGCAGCTGGAGGATTGAACATCCATGGCACACTCAGTTTGTCAGATGCCGCCTTGAACGTTGTAGCGTTGTCAGACCTGATCCGAGACGGCAAACTACGTCTCGCGACAAACTTCCGAAATGCCATCAAGAATGACTCGGTACTTAAACTATCGACCACCTCCAAGTGAACTGCTCTGGTGGTGGCACACACAAACAATGCTATCCATACCTTCGGAGATGACTCACCACGGCGCACG